ACTATCTATACTTTATTATGTTAACAATTATGTACCATTACTCCACTACCTTGCATAGGACCAGCTCGTTATCATGACTAAAACCCTTTTATGACTGATGAATTTAAAGATAGATTAAAATGTTCCATAGATGCCTCAATGAGTCATTTGAGGCGTTCACTCCAAGGCACGGATTTCCCGACCGTAAAATCCATTACAGTATTCTAAATTGAAAAAAATGTTAGTTGCACTAATATTTTTGGCTGATGGCACTTTTCATCGAGAAACTAGTGATTTATTTGATGTTAGTAAAGCTTGGAAGGTAGCTATTTGTTTGGTAATTAAAGCAGAACAAACAAAGAAAAAAAAGGTTTTCTTAAATATAAGCGCATTGTAATAGCAATGAAACAGATTTTAAAAATCGCAACAACACAAAAAATGTTAATTAATAACCATAGCTGTTAACATAAATAATATTACGAGCTAACTGCAGAATATTATTTTCAACATTTAACAGTTAGATTATTAAAGAGTGTAAGAATAACGGAAAGAATATTCTTATATTCCAACCACGATTAAAACCAGCACATACCTACGATTTTCATATCTAATAATCAGTACCTCTAAATACATTTTAGTTTCAATAATTAATTGTACCATTATAAGTTTAGTTAAAATTATCCTATCCAAAATACCATCCTAAATTATCAGGCAATTATGCAAAATAGGCATTCATCTGGTTATAAATACCCAGTTATTTTATGACATGCATCTTAATTGAATTATAAGAATGCACACAGAAATATATTTCACTACAGACTTCCATTATCTGATTTCATACAAACGTGGATTGTTGTGTTTATAAATCAATAAAATTAGATAGATTTTTATAGGTGAGCATTGGGACAATGAAATACACGAAAAATAATTGTTTTGGACGTTTTGGTTCAGCCTTTTTCACGATCATCCTATTGTATGGAAGTACGTATGTCAGCAGCAGTGGCTTCACATGTGTTTCCAGACTGTTGTTACCAACGTCTCAACAGAAATTCCCTGCGAATCCCTGTCATTAGGCTCCGCTATGGATTTGGTCTCGACCTACACTGGGCCCGGCTTTCACATCATTAGGCTCTGACTCGTGAACCCATTTTTTGGTCGTCGCTTATATAGTCCGGGGCCAACGTCTGGTCGCGGACTATGAAGTCCCGAGCTCGTGAACCGCCCCTAAGTGATCTAGTTTAAAAGGAATATGACCTTTCTGTCATGACAGTAGCTGCTTAAATCGTATTTTCTCTTTGTACCATATTTTACAGCCAAAATGTAGTGTTATTTTCAAAAATGTTACCAACCCAGTGTGCCAAAGTCCGTAGTATAAGCAGGTGCAAATAATTTGTCAAGATGGGTACCATTTTAGGCAAGGTTTCTATGTTTGGATTTTATTAGACACGATAAGAGCAGATATTTCAACAAAAATATTTGATATGTGTAGAAAACAGTGTTGGGGAAGCTACTTTTAAAATGTAGCTAGCTACAACTACTGCTACATTTCCAAAAAAGTAGCTTAGCTACAGCTACAGCTACAGTTCCGAAAAAGTAGTTAGCTACAACTACAGCTACAATGAAATGTAGCTACAGCTACAATTTTAGCTACTTTTCCAAAGACGTTACTTTTTATTTCAAAAATGTAAAATTAATTGCAACTACATTTTTATTGAACAAACATATAAACAAAAAATGTCAGTATTGTATCCAACATTACTTGGAAAACAAATTACTCCTAGATTATATTTAATTTGTTGGCATTATAAACCTAACATTACAACAACAAAACCAAATATTTGGGTGTCCCATCATATTTAGTACTTATTTTTAAATATTGCATTATTTTTAAGCATTTGTAAATTTCATTAAGTTCAAAGGATATACAACCAAACTATATTTTAAAAGATCATTTTATTTCTTTAATATAGATTCATTTATAGATGTCTTATATTAAAAATTAAGACCAATAAGACTGTAAAACGATTATTTAAAAAATACTTTTTTGTGTTACAGAGCCTAGCCTATTGAAATTGGAGTTTATTGCCTTTCTTTACTTTTAATGTTAAAAACGACATTGCTGATTGCTATAACTTTTAACCATAGCAAAAAGTTACTTGTTCTATGAATAACACTTTTCAAAGTCAAGAAATCGTCCTTTATTGTCATTATGCATAGGGCAAATTGTGCTTCAACCTAGTTGGTACAGAAAACAGTATTCAGCAACTTATTCTGAAATCGGCTTTTAATTTAAACATGTTGAAATTTGTAAAGTAAAAATAACATTTAGGCCTACTTGGCTATAGTAGGCTTGTTCTTGCAAGGACTACACAGGCATATTCCTAATAATTGAACTTGGAACTTGGTATTCGTCTTAACCCTATAGCATAGCCTAGGAATAGTCCTACACAAGAGCTGTTAGCAGGAGCAAACTGTGATTTTTTTCAATATAAGTTTCATGTTATATGGAGATTTTTTTGTTACAATTATCATGTAGTCTAGGGATATCTTAAATCTCATCAGGTAATTTCCTTTTTGTTAATTTAGTAAACCTTTGAAAAATCTTCGTAATCTAACCAAGGAAGGGCTTGTGATGATGAATCACAATCAACAGCTGAAGCAAAGGTTGATAGACCAGCTTTCTCATTATTTTAAGGTTTAGTGTTGGTTTCCATTAAAACCCAAGTTGAAACACTATCGATATAATAAAGAAACTAAATTGATTACTTATTTCCCTGTCAATCACTTGCAGCATTCAATAGCTTCTCTTGTCACCGGTAACGTTTAAACATCGTCTGCATCTAGCGATTTTATTTTATCTGACAGTAATCATAGAGTAGTAAATTAAGGAAATGAGAGCCAAAAATGTGGATAACACTCATTTAATGTCCACACAACGTTGTAATAGGGAATGAAACGGCTGCAACCAGCTGTATGAAGCCAAGAAAGAAGGCCTAATTTTTTTGAAAATCTCAGTTTGAAAGCGGTTGTTTCACGTAATGTTGAGGTTATGATAAAAATCACTATCTCAAACAATGTTAATGTAGCGAGAAAAGTAGCTAAAATTCCGCTACAACTACTTTAAAAATGTAGCTAGCTACAGCTAAAGCTACAAAAAAAGTAGCGCGCTACTGTAGCGTCGCTACTTGTAGCGCGCTACTTCCCAACACTGGTCTAGAATAATATGATGGTAGGCAAAAGTGGTGAAAAAGGCAGACACCAACCCGTACAATAGATATAAGATAGTTCAATAAGAAATAATTTAAGAATTGCTGTGATAAAAGGATTTTCCACTGATTTCGTAATGGAGCGTTATATTGCAAAACATGACATGATAAAGAGGAAAATCAATTTTAAAATCAGAAAATAATATTGCAAATACTTGTTTGGTACAATTCAGTAACTCCCAAAAAATATTATGTGTTGTTTGAAATACAATTTAAAATTGAACAGCTGTTAAATTGTTATATTAAAAAGTATTATTCACATAGCCAAAACGTAAACAACTCTGTGGAGGGATCTTTAAAGGCTTCTGGTGTAGAGCCCTAAGGGATTTAGCTTAGTTTTTCTATTGATAACTCATCTACAGACCAAGACCTTTCTTTGGACACCTCTACCAAGTTTCTACGCCCAGCCGTTCTCTCAAATTAGTGGGGACAAAGTTTCCAATTAAATATTTAAATTCCCTCATGTTAATCTTATGGGAGAAAATCCAACTTTGATGGCCTGTGGGGCAATGCCCAAGGATTTTTATTACAGGAATTGGTGAAAGGGGGCGTCTACACAAAAAATACTTTATTTTGACACGTCGTTTGTAAAAATCCATCCATTATTAACGGAGGAGTAGCGTTTCGTAGAAATCGCCATCATGTATTATATAAGGATGGGATGGCTACTTCAGTATCCAATAGTCAATGATAAAAATAAAATCAAGACAACTCTACTGGATAAGGTTTGTTATCCCATCTCAGACTTTTTACATTTAACTCCATGAGTCGATCATTGTACCTTATAATGTTTGTGTATTTTGATGTTGTAGTTTATATTAGTGTATTTATTATATCAACATTTTCCTTTAAATATACTTTTCACTCATACAAATATAATAAAACTAAATTGAACCACTTAATTTCATTCAAATCAAATCAAATCATCTTTATTCCATAGACACAAATTGTGAAAAGTACAATTCAATCTGTATAGCAACTTAGTAGACGCACAGGCACAGCCTATGTCTGCTAATTCCAGGACTAAAAAGATAGGAACAACCTTTGACTCATGTATATAGTTAATTAATTTAGTTTTGCATAAAACCCTTTTTCTTTTTGTATATTTGGTTGTGTAATTTTATATATGTGGTGGAATAAATAAATAAATTAATTAATTCATTCGTTCATTCACCATGTAGATTTAACCCTTACCGCGCTGTACACGAATATACTCGCCGAAATTCCCTTTGCTCAAAACGCTATAGACGACTATACTCGCCTTTAATACAGAGTGCATTGGCTGGTCCTTGTAGTTCCCAGTTTTGCTGATAGAGTGCAGCAGCTATTGGAGAACATATCACGTGATGGAAAATCACAATAACAACGTTCCCCGCCCTCTGATTGTTCAAAATGGCGGTGCCCTACACTTGCCGGTCTCTGCTATGAGAGACGCCAGCGCTGTGGACGAACTAACTCGCAAGTGTTTGGTTAACTCGCAGACTCCACAGAAAACTTCGTTCTCTGCTACGTTCGCTATTATATTGGCTTATTACGTTAGTTATACTGTTAAAATTATAAAATAATATTCAGTTTTGACTTTTGGGAAAATATATTTTTAGGCATATGTAGCATTACAGTCAAGGCCACCCGACATATTTGTAGCGCGGTAAGGGTTAAGACATTATAAATTACAATAGGGGCCTACATGAAATGTATTTGATGTAATGTTTTTGGTGTTGATAAATTATTTGTTTGATTTTGGTTGATATTCAGCTCGGGAGGCGGAGTTAAGGCAGCTGCGGAAGAGCAACACGGACTACGAGCAGCAGAACGCAACTCTGCAAAAGCACATGGAGAATATGAGAGCTGCGTTGGACAAACTGGCAGCAGATACAGAGCATCAACGCAGCAACAACCTCATGCTGCAGCAACATCTGGACCAGGTAAGCAACTAATTGCTACCTATATTAGAGGGTTGCCGGTTCAATCCTAAAAAAGATTTTAGCTTATGATTTGAAATTGGTCTATGGTCCTGTCTAAACAGCTGATCTTTGTATTGACTTTTGGACACTGAAGTAGATAACCAATAATAATAGACTATCTGTTGCCTAGGCCTACTTTTTATTCAAAAGGGACATAGTTGAATACTCAAAGATTGTGCTAGTCTGAAATTTGATTTTATTTCCTTTGTTTTTTTCTATTGAGATGATGGTTGATGTGACCTAAATTATGCCTGTCAGAGGCACTATTAAAAAACTACGTCCTCTTTATTATAAAATTGGCTATAACTTTAGCATAGAGATGGAATGTCTGGTTTCGTCAATAAATGATTTTAAGGATAAAGAAATGGATAGGCTACAGAACTAGGCCTAGCTTATACAAGAATAGAGTTCTAGGCTGTTGAAAGCACAAAAACAGTTCCTAGAATTCCACCTCTTTCTCCTGAAGAAGCCCCCGTGTAGGGGTGAAACAAGTTAATTGTGTCGTGAACTTTTAATATGCAATTGCCTGGAACTGTTTTCGAAGGTAAGTTAGTTGTTTTTCAGTCCTTCTTTCTTAATGTATTTCTTAGCCAAGTACTTTTTCCTCCAAAAACTAGTTCTGTCAATAGTCATAGATCTTTGTCCTGTCACGGGTAGGCATGACTACAGGTTATGCTGTGATAGACAAGGTAAATACAGTATGTGGTAAGTACAGTACAAGTATAACTGGCAAGTTCATGCAGCCGCTTTACTTGGTTCAGCAGTAAATGCTATATTTCATCAACCAATCAAAAGGATAATATGTTATCGTACTAGAGTAAGTTCACAAAATTTGGCCAGTATAATATTCCTGGGTCCCCTCACCACTTTTTTATAGACTTAATGTACCTAAGCTGATAAGCTGTTGGCTGTGTTTTCATAGTTAGGGCGAGAGGAGGGGATGTAATCGCTTCCCCTCTAACCGCCAAAATTTTCTGAACGGAATATAGTCAGGAAAATAGGTGTTTACCAGACAAGTATGAGAGTGGGATTACTATACGAGTCTAGTAAACACATTTTGGACAAGTGACATATGATATTTTTTACCATTACTAACTAAACTAACATAACAGTAGAAAAGCTGTCAAAATCGGTTATATGTTTCTACTGATTTAAGGGCTTAACAATCACTCATAACAGGTTAAGATTTTTTAGTTCAGTAACATTCAATCTGAACAAGTGTATATTTTTACTTTACCAAAAATGTTTATATTACTTTCGTAAAGTATTGTTAAAGTAAAGTATTTTGAAAGTATTGTTTTCGTCAAAATTTTCGAGTTTGAGTTTTGAGTGGATATATTCGTTTTGGGTTCCCATTGGACCCAAAAAAGTGGTTTTCGAAGTGATGTCTGTGTGTGTGTGTCTGTATTCACCGAATAGTGGCATCCTTCACAGGCACGTGGCCGTACTGTGGTACCTTCAAAAATTGTGGCACCTTTTTTAGGGTGCCACAGCTAATTCGATCATTTTTTGGGTTTTCCAGCATTATTACGTCTAGTGATGTGGGCCGGGAATATTCCCAGTGGGAGGGAACTTATAAAATGGGAATATTGCCGGGAATATTTCTTTGGCCCAAAACTGGGAATATTCCCAAAAATTGGGAATTTATGAAAATTTTAAAATTCTGATCGTTTTAATACATATTGACGGTTAAAGAACCTTAAAACTACTTTACCTATAAGAAATTCTTACATTTAAATCTAAGAGTTGTCATTCCATGTACATTTCTGTAAAAAAATGTTGGAATTTATGAAACTGAATGGATTTTAATTATTGCATTCCAAGAAAAGAAACAGACTTTTATCTGAGTGAGCAGCAAAACTGACAGTTCTTTCTTACAACTGGAAACTCATGAATGCTCAACCTCTAAGAGAGAGTAAGCAAGCAGAAGGCAACCCAGAGGAAACAGGACAGGAAGAAAATTAAGACATCCTGTCCCTTCTCACAATCGAAGAAGGGGATGAGGATGAGATTGACTTGACAAGTAACAATGAAGACGATTTTTGTGGATTTGGAGATGTAGATGACGAGAAGGACAAAGGAAATATAATTGACATAGAAAGTGACAGTGACTAAGAAACATAAAAATTAATACAGAAAGCAAATATTTCAGTATTTCCCATCTAACCTTTTCGTTTTTAATATGTAGTCTTGATTTAATACACTAAATAAATTTGTTTTCAAATAATATTTTTATTTCCTGTATATTTACTAGGTTATGTTTGTTTCTGATTATCTGTATATACTAATTTGATACGCAAGCAGGTTTTTTGTGACAACTAGGCCTGAACCGATAGATATGTTTGTGGTGTCATTAGAAAGAGCGTAACGTGAAGTTGTGCAGGAAACTTTTTTTAGGGAAATAATAATTAGAAAGTGAGGCCCTGGGGCCCTTTAAAGTTTTGTATTCCTCCAAAAGATTAAAATGGAAGGTCATGACTGCGATGCGGAAGAAGGTCACCCTTCAATAAAATAAATAAATGGGCCAAGTTTGATCAAAATATTTCCATAAACAAGCAAACTACAAAATTTTACAATATTCTCCATAAGAATAGCATAGGAATTTTAAATTTGCTATTTTTTAAATTTTTGTAATAAACAATAACCATACAAAAACATTTTGGTATAGGCCTACTAAATTATTTGTTTTTTAGTACTTTAAAATGGTCTAGAGATAAATTGGGAAATTTTGTGTTTTGAGGGTAAAAAATAAGAAAAACCATTTTCTATCCCATAAAACCCTGTTCCCATGGTCCGATCATGCTGGTTTGCTAACTCATTTAATTTTATCCCGCCATACATCCTCAAACCAAATTTAATCAAAATCGGAGAAAAATTACTCTTTGTTATCACGTTCACTGACGTATATAGGCTACATATGTCCGTGTATATATATGTCCGCCATATATACATGCAATTTACGGACATAAAAATTTGAACAGTGTTTTTGGCCTCTAAGGACATCAAAACAAAATAGTATATCGGTCCCGGCTCCAGGTCTTATCATGTTATGTGCTCGTTGGTCTTACCTTGCCAACTACGGTAAAAGCTACTTCCCTATAGGGAAATTCGCTAAAAGAAAACTGAATTAACAATGTGCTGCATTTCTTAGTAATAAATAAAAGAGTCGATTTGCAAACTATGGAAACTTAGGAAAGTCATAGAACACCACCAAGGAGAAGAAATAGAAATACTGTTTTTTAAGGATTTATAATCATTATTAAGGACAACCTAATGTGGCTATGTGTAAGGCTATTTGTAGAAAACACTAAAAAACAAGATCAGCCTTTGAAAAATGATAAGATATTTACAAGAAATGTTGATTATATCGATCTGTTATATAGATCTTGAGTATTTCCATAATTCTTGAGGCGAATCTTTTAAAGTCATCAGAAATTATGACTTTTACTCGTTTTAAAATAACACCTGTAATACTTAGAAATAGCTTGAATTCGAGCAACAGGTACACTAGTTGTATTAAATCAAAATTTTTTGAAAATAGATTGTTTGTGTTTTATTTAAAACAAATTACCAAAGTGACCGATTTGAGCAATTTAGCTTATAAAATTATAAATTCTCAGTTATTTATTTCAATTAAAACTTTGTATTATAATATATTTTAGTTTTTGTGGTTGATTTAACCTTATAATTATGGCTTTTAACTATTAAGTAACAGTTTTTAAACCTACGTTGCTAATTAAAAATAAATTCCCGGGAATTTATGAATTTTGGGAATGTTGCCGGCAATATTCCCTGGGAATATTTCCTCGATATAAAATTCCCGGGAATTTTACATCACTAATTACGTCGTTTAAACATCACATGCCACAATTGAGTATTTTTGAACTCGTTGATGTGAGTTTAAGTAGCGCAGGTACACGCCGAATTGTGGAACACGAAACCATACTGGTAGCTAGCGCGCCTCGCGCCGTCCGCTGGAACTATAACTTCCCTAATGCTATGTTGCCAATTCTCGCGCCAGCCTACACTCTAAATAGTGGCACCATGCCGCAATTCGGTATATATCAACAGTGTGTGGACAGGATGCCACTTAATGAGTTAAGCGCTTGAGCAGTGTGTAAAACAGTGCAACAAGCAACTAATAATACTGTACTGCCACGTACTATAAGACAATTTAAGTACCATAAATAATATACTTTTGCTCCGAGTGGTGAACAATGTTTTACATTACAAATATTTTGTGTAGTAAATAATTGAGCGGAGCTCTTATACTACACTCCTGCTTTTGTTTTACAAATACTCCTCCTGAACGGCTGAAGCGATCTGCACGAAATTTAACACAGTCATAGTACCCAACCATGGGAAGGTATAAATCTGAAATGGTACAAATCGGACCACAGGTCTTTTCCCTACATGAATGCAAACTTTTAGAAATTTAACATTGGCCTTATGGGTTAATTGGTCGCCATGACATTATTTGCGGGTAAACACCACTGAGCTATAATAATAACTGGAGTAACCACTCTGTGTTTTAAAAACGTACCACTGTTTTTCCTGGTTTTGTTTCAGAGTTTCGTTTCGTTAGGTTGGCCGGGTGATCGGGTTGGTGGGACATGTCAAATTAGAGGCAAAATCAAGATGGCGTCATCCTGTTTTGTTGATGATAGTAAACAAAAATCTGCCGACTCAACATTATGATTGCAATATAAGTTTATTTATTTATTTTACGAGCAAGAGCAACCCATATTTTAACAAGATCATAAACCGATGGTTGTTATTTAATCAAATGCCATAGGGCCATTGGCCTAAACCAATATCTCCAAACCAGGAAACTTGACTAGCCTATTTCACCACATAGCTTGAAAAAAAGGTAAATAGGTTGGTATTTATTTACTTTCAAACAAAAACAATTTATATTGTTTCAAAATAACTTTAAATACAGAGGTTTTAACGTGCAATAA